AAAAAGTAAATGTTTCAGAAAGAAAAGAGAGACTGCAGTCTAAACAAACCATTTAAAATGTTTAAACATCTTTTTGTGAAAATTCAACGCTATAATCATAAGATCTTCTTCCACAGTGTCTCTGCTGGTAACTTCACCAAACATTTTGCATTAGAAAAGTTAACATCAGGTTAATTAACATTTATTCAGTGGGAGTTCATGTAGGTTTTACAGTGATCAAGGCGCTGACAGGTGTTTCGGTCACCTGCCTGACTGAAAGTGCATTTAATGGCCGATTTGCCGACAGGAGAGCTGCACCCTGCGGCTTGATGAAGGTCCGGCTTCCCTGCGGCTGAGCGACGTTTGCTTCAAAGCTTTGGGATGAAAGACGTGTTAATTGGCTGGTAAAATTATACAGCGGCGGTTATTTAACCGCTGCTAAAAAAGCCCTGAAAATGAACTTTCCCAGTTTCCAGGCTGAAATCTGATCTGATTTATAGCTCTAAAGAATCAGAGTGTAAAACTATAGTTTACTATCATTATATCATAGATTTTAAACATGTTGTTGTTGCTATTTTCAGATTTCTTCTGTTATAATCAAGCTAATATCAATAACAGACAATAAGATGTTTGTATTATTGTCCTCTGGGATTTAGCTAGCAAAAGCTAGCAAAAATTCCTCTTGGGATTTTTGCTAGCTTTGAAAACATTTAGCTTTCCCAAGTTGCATTTATAAATCCTAAAGCTATAATTTAAACTTTCAGCTGAATAAAGTCCTATAACAGAAGAGAAAGTTTATTTTGCTTCTGCTAAATATTATTTCAGTGTGGAGCTTTAGCTTTAGCTAAACTGTTTATGATTAGCATTAGTGAAGCTAACGTATCAGTTAATATGTGTGAAAAAGGATTAGATATTTTTTCAGAATTGAACCTTTGACCTCTGACCTGGACGTCACTGGTATGAATATGGAAATCCTTTAGTCTGACAGCGTCGCTTTATGAGTGTGAAGCGTTGATTAGCCGCGTGTTGAGGCGCTAATGAAACCTTTTGACCTGCGTCTCATCCCACCGGCCAAGACAAATCCAGTCCGACATTTACGTCCACTCCGGATCCGGATCACACCTTCTTTCTTTTTTCTCATAGATCTGAGGAGAGCGTCAGAACGAGTCTGTTTGGGAACAATGGGAACCTTTAAAGGAGCCAGACCGCCCAGGAGGAAAATGACGGGTATTTTCCTTCGCAGATGCTCCTTTCAAACGGGCAAGTGGTGTTGCATGTATGGATTTTCATCTGCAGATATTCATTTTTCTGTCTTTCACTGAGCTCTTTAATCGCTCCAACGGCTGACTGGTTGATTGACAAAAACAAAAATCCAATACATCATTTTCTCCTGCTTTTTTTTTAAAACTGTTGTTTTTCATTAAATTGTTTCCCCAAAAGCAGCAACATTGTTTTTCTCTCTTCAGTCACACAGAAGGTGAATATTTTATTTATTAGCAAGAAACTAAATGTTAAAATAATGCATCTGTTCACCTTTTAAGGGGAAATATTATAAATTGACATTTTAAACCTTAAACCAAACACAACCTAAATGTTACATTTATGTTTCTACTGCTCCTAAACACATAGAAAACATTTATGCTTAATGTTTTATGATGTTTTTTTTTTAGTGTCTGGAAAATTAGTCGTTTCAAAAACAAGTCCCACTGCTCTGTTACCTAGCAACCAGAGCTGAGTTCCAGCATGTTTGGTGAGCTGGTTCTCTCTCTGTATCTGCTGTACAATGGCTGCTGGAAAAGATAAGTGTTTTGTTGTAGACTTAACATCCAGAAACCACTTGCTTCATTCTTGTCGGTTGAGCAGGAGGCACCACTTCTACTTTTCAAAGAGAATCTGTCTGCGGCCATTTTTACAGGGAAGCATAAATGTTGAGTTGCAGGTTATTTAGATTTAAAGGATAAAATGCAAAAAAACAGCTAAAATCTCATTGTCTAACAGTGATTTTATGCAAAAAATGTAAGAATCATGTTTGGAATAGGCCATAAAGTTACCCTAACCTGTCCAAAGTGACTTCTTGTTTTGCTTTAATTTATTTAAACTCTCTTTCTTACCCAAAGTGCTTCAGTGCTTCACCTTGAATAAAAATGGTTTTGGTCAGAAACATTGAACTTTCCTCCTGGAAATGATGTCAGTGATTCAGCATCACCAAGACAGCCAGACGTCTAATTTCCCCGAACGTCACCGCGTTGAGCTTTAAGCCCAGAGATACGGAGCTGAGAGTCGATCTGAGCGTGAGAGCTGAGCGCCGCGGCGGCGGCTGACTGGAAATGAAGGTGGACAGCTGAAGGACTGCAGGGCAGCCCCGGCTCAGGCTTGTCATCTGATGACCTTGTGCTGTCTGCCATAGAAATCTGATCTGACAGCGCGCGGCCCGAGGCCACAGACACACCAGGACCGCCACCGACCCCCCACTGAGCGGATCCGGCAGCAGAATGACCACCGGCAGGCGTTGAACCATTAATATCAACACTTTGCTGGACAATTAAACAATTAAAGCTTTTTTATGTGCAGAGTGTTTACTGTAACTAACAAAACAAGAGTTGACAGTTTGGCCCTAATGCCATATTTTACCTCTCAAGCATCAGCAAATAGTAAAGTTTGCAAGTATGTTTTGCAAACTTTATTATTTGCTCCCTAAAACTGAAATTAGACGTAGCGAATGTTTAACCTCATGACTCCCACTCGCTCCGGCTTGTTTGATTGGCACTCTGAGATTTAACCGTGTGGGTTAACGGCGGCCGGCTAAAGAGCACTCAGCAGCGTTCAGCTCTTCTTAGTCACAAAATGAGATGAAAAAAATCAGTTTGATCAGGAGCAACTGAAAGACATTTACAGATTGCCCTCCATAATATCATCAGGCTTTCATTGAACCATCCTGAGGCGTCATTATCATAATGATGGTCTCCAGCTCTGTGATTATCATCATGTAGTGCTTTATCGCCCCACCAACATGGCAACCTGCATCAGCATGGCTCCCATCTTCACTGCTACACATTATAGCTTCACAGCGCCAGCAGAAAACCAGCTTTTCAGCTGCTGAGGTTCTTCACTACATTTAAACCAAAGCATTTATTAAACAGTTCCCCTCCTCGCCTGTGGGGGCGCTGCATGGACATGAAGAATGTGTCAGTGAGCTAACACGAGTAAATGGACCAAACTTCACAAAGTATGTTCAGTTAATTTACATGATTAGTAATTATTTATGTGATTACTAATATAGTCGGTAATGAAATAAATAACTAAAGAGAGTTTCTAACTTTTGATGTCATTATTTTATTGTTTTGGAGAATTTCTGTTATGTCTGGTAAAAAAAAAAAAAACGAGTTATTTCTAATGCTAGAGCTAGGCTAACACGTTTGGGTTGTATTCATCCATTCATCCATTCATTCTGATTAAAACAATTTAATTATTATAATCTCAGTCTAATTAAAATTGAGTCAATTTATTTTGAACCAGTTTGAAAAATTACCTTCATCTTTATTTTTCCTAATTGGAATCAGATTAAAATAATAAAAAATAAATTAATTATATATGATTAAAAATGGAACAAGGCCATTTGATGCTAATAATATAATTTTAATTGACTTTAATCAGTTTTATGACTGTTAAAAAGAAGCTGATGAAATCAAATAAGATTTTATTTCATTTTTTTTTTTTCAGCTGTGAAACAGAATTGATCTAAATTATTTCTGTGTCTCTCATTAATGGTCTTATATTAATGAAGTAATTAAATCAGAGGATTTTCTTTGAGTTTTAAAATTCTTCTTTTCCTCCTGGAAAAGAAGAATCGGCAGCCGATAACAGATCTTTTAATATTCCTGGTCTCTGTAATATCAGAGGCAGAGTTTCTCCTTCCTGGGTTTGGCCCGGCATCAGAGCTTATTAGACAGATAAATGGAGCCGGACTTGAGCCTCTTTCGGTTCCCTGTGAATGCGGCTCCATCAGATAGCGGCAGGCCTTCTCGCCCTCCTCCATCTGATAAACAGCTGCTGCTCCACATGTTGTTATGTACAAACCTGGGAGACGATCCGTGTTTCTGCAGATCAGAGCCTGAAAATCTGGGTTTCTAGTGGAGCCGGGCGATGCTGATCCGGAATTTAATAGCAATATTAAATTCCAAAAATTATTTGTTACTTATTTTTTAGGTAGCTTTGTCGTTCTTGACACCAAAAACAAAATTTAGTTTTTGTAAAATATTCACCTTTGCACTGGAACTGGAAGACATTTTAAATATCCAAAAGAAATAAACAAAGGAAAACAAATAAAATGAATGATAAAGACTTAAGATGTCTGTAAACGGACAAAATTTGCTCAAAATTGAAACTTCAATCCAAGATGGCCGACTTCCTGCTTGGCGTTGATGCCTGAGAGTTTCCTGTTGGTCAACTTTCAACAAACTTCCTTCCTTTACAGTAAAGTCAGATCAACGCTGAGAGCTTCTTAATGTTGCTAGGTGGCGCTGTTGAGACATTTGTGTTGCAATAAACAAATAAAATAGAAACATATTTTCTATTTGTTTAGGACTCCAAAAAGCCAAGTCAATTAGCAGGAGGAAAATTACTCAAGAGGAAAAAAGTATTTGGTAAAAACTTACTCAAATATTAGTCACTAAAATAAATCTAAGTAGAATTTTTGGTATTTTAAGGACAAAAATTACAATAATTTATATAAGTAGCAAAAAATAACAATAAAAATTTTTCCTGATCAGTTTCTTTTGTTAAAAAACTTATGAAACTTTAACAAACACTTTAATTCAGACGTCGTTTTTCATTCAGTGGTTAGAAAATCCAGAAAATTTACTAAAATAAGAAAATAACTCAAGTACAAGGAATTTATATCAGTGTAAAACAATGTAGATATCAGAAGAAAAAGCTGAAGTTTTTCTCTTTGCTGCCTTATTGTGCTGCTCAGTTTCAGGTTTTCTTCAAACTGAGTCCAGAAGAAAAAGACTTTCCTTGGCCTGTTTCCTGTAACCATGGCAGCAGGAAGCGCGCTCCAATCAGGTTTGCGGCGTTGTGTGTTCAGGAAGTGGCCCGTTTCCTCTGTTCCCGCCGGTTTCCTCTCCGTCGCTGCAGAGCCGCTCAGCGGGTCGGCTTGGATTTATTTACCCCAAACTGCTGCCACTTATGGTTCAGGTGAGTTTCTGCTGAGATATGAGAGGAAATGTGGAGTTTAGCTTCATATTTATGTTTCTTTTGACTCACTTTAAGACACTTAAACCAGAAAATGTTGTCAGGCCTCATTTCAGTTGTTGTGAATCATTTTCCTTGTGCTTTTCTTTTTACTTATATATAAATTACTTGTATGACATGAAGTTACAGGGTCAATTTATGTTTTCATTTACATTTTAGTCATGAAAAATGTTAGAAGTTTGAAATCCTTCTAAATTTATCTGCTTTTTTTGGATCTTTCCACTAAACTAATATTTAGTTAACAAGCTAAATATTTAGCTTCAGACTAATCGTTAGCTCAGAGCTAAATGTTTAGCTAATATGCAAATTCACTTCCTGTTAACTGGAATTTGACTGCCAAAATAAAAGTTTTGTGAAAACTGCTGGTGTTAAAGGTTTGCTTCAGTCGTTGCTCACGTCACGGCAACATTGTTGTTTGTTTTCTGGTTATTTGTTTTCTGGTTGTTTGTTTTCTGGTTGTTTGTTTTCTAGTTGTTTGTTTTCTCTTTGTTTCTTTTTTCCTCTCGTTACCTTGAACCAGAATTAGCTGCTCCACAGATCAGTGACTAATAAACCAAATTATTGTTTATTATAGTTTTTGATGGTTTAACAATAAAAATCACACGACCTTTTGACCTCAGACTAAACCGAACTCTTCCTCCTTCAGATTGGTGAGAATCGATGGAGTTCAAGTCAAACGACATCACTTCCTGTCTGTGATCCCCCCTGGCAGCGATGCCCCTCAGCCAGCTGGTCACCAGCAGCTCCTGCCTCCAGGCTCCTCCTCCGCCCAGCCGGGTCGCCGCCGGCCCGGTCAGGGGGACGGAGCGGCCCCCGGATCGGCCCCCGGAGCCGCCGAGGAGCTGCGGCTCGGCTGGGAGGAGCTGCTGGAGTCCGGACCTGAAGGTGGCGCTGCTGCTGGTGACGCTGGCTGGAGCCGTGATCCTGCTGCTGCTCTACAGGCTGCTGCAGCTCAGGCACAGGTAGGAGCTCACCTGGTCTGGGGGCCAAAATCAGAGAAAACAATAAAATCACAAAAAGTCACAAAATTACAAGAATAAATACGAGAATGAAGCTGAGAGACTCTTATTGTTTGAACTTTGTTCTTGTACAACTTTATTTTGGTAAAATTCACTCACTTATTGAAGAACAAGTGAAGGTCTAAGCAGGTTCTTGCTAGGCTATCAAAAAGTGGTTTAGCTAGTTGTTACCAGCCACCTAGCTTAGCTTGAGTCTTTGCTCTGCCTACATCTCCCAGAATGCTTTGCAGTTCAGGGTATTTTCTATTGATATTGATAGATGTTGTCTCTGGTCGGGTTCTGGTTCCAGACTCAGGCTGGCCCAGGCGGGACACGCCCTGGAGTACAGCAGCTTCTACCACAGCGCCACCTACAGGCTGACGCAGCCCACCGCCTGCCAGGAGATCCCCACCAAGAACGGGTCTCTCCCTCCAGAACCGGCTCCCATCCAGACCATCACCACCATCACCCCCGTCGTCCCGCCGCCTTCCCTGCCCCTCCCGCCGACCCCGCCTGCAGCGCCCCCGCCTGGCCTGCGGCCGCCGTCGCTGCCTCTGATCCACGCCACGCCGCCCAGCCCCCACCTGTCCTGGGGCGCCTGCTCGGACGGCGACGTTTACTCTCGGATCGGAGCCTTCCGGCCCTCCAGGCTGTCCAGCCTGTCCAGCAGGTCCACCGTCATCCTGTTCGAACACTCGGCCCTCTGAACCCTCGGGTCAGAGGTCGTTCATCAGGAAATTGTTTCTGCAAAAAAACGATCAGTTTTGTTGTTGGACTGTAACTTATATTGTTTAAACAAAACAATTTTACAACAAAGTGTCAGGAGCCATAATGATAAAAAAAATAAAATGTCTTAATATTTGAAGAACAATAAAATCTCATTATTACAACAATAAAGTCAAAATAACACAAGAATAAAACTGTTTTTTATGTTGATTCTCGTAAAGCTTCACTTTTATTGTTTTCACTTTATTGTGTTTTTATTCAACTTTATTCTCATATTTTATTTTGTAAGTCTCCACCAGAGTGCCTGAAGACTTTACATAGTCAGAAACAAGTTGCAGTTTTACGGCTCTGAAACATTTTCTTAATGATCCTGATTGGATTTTCCATCCTTCAAACATGAAAACGTTTCGTTTCTTTAATTATTTTGATGTTTCTTGGTTCACATGGGGGGAAATTATGCTGAAATATTTCCGTTAGCATAGAAACAACAAATGTTCAAAAGTTTAATTTGGAGGGATTTCATCTATTCTTAGCATCATAATAATACAGCGTATCAATGTTAGAGGATTTTTAGGTTGGAATCACCTGATCCTTTTATTTTATACCTGATAAAAACATTTTGTTTTGTTTTTCGGTTATTCCTGTGAAATTCAAATGTTTGGAGTCGGAACAGATTATTTTGTTCTACTCAGCCTCAGATTTATCCTGTTTTTCTGGCAAACACTTTTTCTGTGATTGAAAAAGAGCATTTTTTATTTAAAAAATAAATATATATATACAGATGGCAAAATATGTCAGAAAAATATTTGTTTATATTCAATAAGACAGGCTGTTGAATAATTCAGTGAAATCCTCAGAAAACTGGAATCTGCTCTGAAAGATAACAGCAGGTGGAAAATGTCACGGACCGATCCGTCGTCAACAGGAAATGTTCCTCTCTGGTCACACGAGGAGTAAACTTTTAGGTTTTGCAAGAGTTTCTGGAACTTTATGTGTTTCCTGCATAAAGACGTCAGTTTGTTCAGTTTTTCTATCAAACTTTGTTTTGCAAAATAAATCAGATGAAAAAACACAAAAACACCACAAGCAGTCAGAAGTTGACGCTAACACTGAAGCTAATGCTAAAGCTAAACACAACGACCCTGGAGCAGCAATTTAGTTTTGACATTATGATTCACATGAAAATGAATATAAATCTCTAAGTACTTGAAGAAATATTAACAATCAACAAGCAAAATTTCAAAAGTCAAATTTTAATCAACTGAAAGTTCAGAAAACGGCCAAGTAAATTAGCGCTTGGTATGCTAAATGTTTTCAGTGCTAAAGCACTAAATGACTAATTAGCTCTGCTAGCATTAGCAGCACTCAGGCTCATGCTTTTATTTTGTTAAGCATTCTCAGCCACTCCTGCTTTATGCTTCATAATTACTGATATTCTTTCAAATTTGCATTTTCAAGAAGTTTATTTAATTGAGTGTTGTAGTTATTTTAGTTTCAACATGATGTATAAATGTGCACATAATATGTTTTATGGTTTCCTCCTTTGTTTCTCTGCTGCAGATAATTGAAAACCATAACAATATTTACCAAAAGCTGCAAAACTATGAAGATTTCACACAGTTATTGTTCCTTCAGCCATAAGCTGAACCCAAAGCAGATTATATAAAATATGAACTACATCTCTGTGTCCTGTGTTTGAACTGTGAGCGTGTGCACAAACCTGCCGTGTTTCACCAAGTCCATGCACATAAAATAATTTACATTCATATCTTAATGTTTACAAAAACCATCCGTGTCTTTCTTTCTTACACAGAAAGTTCTGAAAAATTTTTAAAAGTCGTCCAAATGCCTAAAGATGCGACGTTAGCTGAGTCACTTTAAACCAGTTTTGTTTTAAAAGCTTCATACTAAATATTGTTATTATTTTACTGCAACTTCTACCAGAGGAGCAGAAACAGTGAAGAGACAAAAACAGAAGAAATATTGTGTGTAAACATGTTAAATCAATTTAAATGGAATCATTTACCTATCAGGCGTCTGCATGTTGACAGAACATCCAAATCAGTTTCTGAGCCACCAGCAAAATGTGAACAAACCAGTAAATAATCCAAACTATAGTTTATTTTTAACTGTAACTAACAAGCCATATGGAAACTTCAGTTATTTAGTTTTTAGTCTTGTTTTGTTTTGATGTTTGCATTAATTAAACTACATTGACGAAAAAACTAATTCTTTCATTAAAAATATGACTAATTTGGTAAATATAGAATAAAATAAACCCAGGCTAGTAAAACTATCAGAACATTTTAGTTTGCAGCTCGATGAGCATCATGTTTTCAGTGAAAAGGAAAAACACTTTTAAAAAAAACAACATCTTTTTCCTGACAGCAGGAGCTCAGAAAACATTAAGTGATAATAAATGTAATTCTGAGTGGCTCATTAAGGCCCAATTTATTGACTGCAGTTTCAGCAAAATGAAATGTTAGAAAGACACAAAGATCCAGAGGGGATGAAGAACAGCTGCAGATCGCATCAAACAGCAAAACAACACAAACAATCGTCTGTTTGATGTCCCTCTTACAGTGACTGAGCCCAAACAAAGACACCTGCGGCAGGGTCAAAGGTCAGGACGCTAACAGTCCCACCAACACAGAGACAGTCTGCAGGAAATGCAGGAAATAAATGAAACGTTATTTTCTCTTTTTCCGTGCATTAAATTAAACTATTCCACATTTTACAAAGTTCACTACAGTGAGACGATAAATCAATAATAGATATCGGGATAAAACTGATCAATGATGCAACATGTAGAATGTTCGCTGAAGTCCGATACAGAACCGCAAAGCATTCTGGGAGATGTAGGCAGAGGAAAGACGTTAGCCACTCAAGACTTAGACTTAGACTTCCTTTATTGTCATTGTACAAAAAAAACAAGGTGAATCTTGACAACGAAATGTCGTTACTTGGCTACCAGTGTAGCAGAGCTAAAACCTTATACTACACCATAAATAAATAAACTCAACAGAGTGAAGCAATTACTAACACATTATTACCTAGCAAAAAGCTGACTTGCGCAGCAGCAGTTTAAAGTTTCCCCTCTGAGCCTCATTACTAAAATAAAACTGTGTGAAGAGAAAACTGGATAAAAACAGTAAAGATTATTATCACTATTTCAGATATTTAAAACTAAACATTAATCAATAATTTTCTATATTGGCTGATATGAATCACGGTTTTTCAGTCGCATCGTCCAAATTAATTTGAGTCCTGAAACAATTTGCTGAATTACATGAGTCCACAGGTTGTAGTGATTTTATTTTTATTTTTATTTTTTAAATGAGTGAAGTTGAGTTTCAGTTGGACACAAACTAAAGTCTCTGGTTAACGAGGGTCTGAATTAATGAGTTCATTAGTGAGTGGAGGGGCCTCATGTGTTCACACAGACACTCGGCCATGACCAGGAATCCATGATCCGTGTTCAGCCGAGTCCCAGCGGCGCTCTGGTCCGCTCCGGTCCGGTCCGCTCCGCCGCAGAGCTCACATACAAACAATTAAACTGATTCTTACATTTACAGTCAGTTATTTATCACTTTAATCAACATCTGGCTCATATTTAGATGCTTTTTCCTGCTGACTGACTGGGACTGGATGGATGCACAGAAAAGCAAATGTGAATTATGAGTTGATGTTTCTGATACTTCCAGGACTAAATATTCTGTTTATTTTATTTTGGTGTAACTAAAACAGGTCGATGAACAGCAACCCAAAGGTTTTGCTCCATGTTTTGGCTGTGATTGTAATTCCTCTGACAGCAGAGCGCCACCAGCAGCCTGCAGGGTAAACACGGCTCCACTTCAGCAGCATACGGACCAAATTTAATCCCAGTTCTGCTCTGCAGGCTGATTTACAGCCAAGTGCACTCAGCTGCAGTCTCTGAGGCAGCTCCCGAAACCGACCTGGACGGGCCTGGTGCCGTTTTGTTTTCCTGCTGCGGGAAACAAACCAACACAAAACAGGAATTGATCATCAGTTTAATCATCAGATGATGATTCTGCTGGAGAAAAACGAGAATCTGAGGCTTCAGCTGTTATTGTTTTCATCGTGTGTTCAAAACGTTTCAGGATTCAAACAAACGCAGCGTTGGAATAACTGGCAGCGCTGATTAATACACAAAGGCCCGACGTGTTGAGCAGAGCTGGAGGCAACAGACCAGAGATTGCAGAGAAAATCACAGACCTGTCGCTAACCCAGGCCCCCGTCTGGTTACGCCAAAAAAAAACAAATGTTGAGATTTTAAAGAAAAGACGTTGACATTTTTGATCCTTAAGGTCAAAGTTTGGAGAGAAAAATTCATAAATGTTGAGATTAATATTGTGTATTTTCTAGGGAAAAAACAAGGAAATGTTTTGATCTTGTAAAGTTGAACATTTTTGTATTTTGAACATTTTTCTGAGTTTCAAAAGTTGAAAATTGAAATATTCCTGTTTTTTCTAGTAGATTTCTGAGTTGAGTCTCAACATTTGCTGGTTTTTCCTCCTACATGTTTTACTGTTGGATCTCAGAAATTGTTCCGTCTTTTTCTACTAAATGCGGCTGAAATTTGCTCCTTTTGTTGGCATAAATAATCCAGAATGCATTGGAGAGAATTTATATTTTCCATAAAACTGGACCACATTTCCCATCATTTAACAGCTTAAATGCAGTTTATGACTCTTTCTTCTGGTTTTATTGTTTTTTTACATGTGAAATTTGGATAAAAATGTGTCTCCATTTTCAATCAGCTCAAGGAAATAATAAAAGGGGGATTTATTTTGTCCTAACTTGATGTTTTAGTGAACCCGTCTGACTGTGCAGCTCCTGCGGTTCTGATAATCCAGAACTGATAAAGAATCTCTTTCTGGATCTGGATGAAAATATCAATATTCTGTTGTCTATATTAGTTTCCAGTTGTTGGACTACAGTAGAAACAAGCCTGGTTTGTTGGACACAATGAGGAAGTCCACCTGCGTGTTGTGCGCCAGCTGCTCTCTCACCTCCATGCGCCTCACCGGGCCTTTGATCAGGTAATTGCTCCTCGGCCCCCGGAGTTTGCGTCGCTCGTGCGTCTCCATGGCGACCGCCTCTCCATCCTTCATGCGCCAGCCGCTTTTTTAAGACGGCGTTACGAGGCGGGCGGGCCGGGCAGAACCTGGTCCACTTTGACCTTTCTACCGTGGCTCGTAAACGGCAGCAGGCGGCCCGACCGTCCCTTTAACGCCTCACAGTCTGAGTGTTAGAGTCACACTGGAGAGACGAAACTGGGACGGTCAAGAACCAGCAGTCTGTCTGTCTGTGACAGATTGTAACCAGTTTCCTCTGATTCACATGTAGAGGAGGCAGAGTTTCCAAAATATCAGGTAGGAGCAAAAGCAGCTGTTCGAGAAATGACTGGAGAGTAAAGAAGGATTTGGTAGAAAGTTACTGAAATACTGAGTCAAATTATCAATCATTTAATAATTCAAAATTACATCATCAGACGGACCTAAATGTGGAAATGTTGGTCTTTTAAAGATCAAATGAAAATTATTCATAACAAAAATAACATTTTTCCAAATCAGTTTCTTTCAATAATAAACTGATGAAACTTTAGCGGCTGTTTCTCTCAGTCTGGTGGATTTTTGGTTTGTTTTCATTCAGTGGGCAGAAAATCCAGAAGTTTTACTTGAGTAAGAGGAGAAATACTTCATAATAAAAATACTCAAAGTACAATAAAGTAAAATTATTTTTAGAAAAACATTACTCAAGTAAATTGAACTAGTTACTCTCCAACTCTAGATTTTATAATCAAGTAACTATGTCGCCTTTATCTTAAAAATGCTGTATATATGTATCAGATGTTAATTAAAAGAAATGTTACTTCGTGATTTGATGGGCCTCTGTCTCTTTAAGAAACTCTTTCATTATTAATAGAGAAATTATTACTGAAATATATTAAATCTAGTCTAATAATGTGGCAAGTAAGGCTTAACAGCCTCATTTTAGCGTTAGCGCTATTGCTAACCTAGCTTAGCCTGGAAACTGTCATCATAGAAACTTTATGAACACCATAGATGTGAAAAGCTAACAATCATTTTTAATTGAATGTTATATATTTTTCAAATTGCTGCCAGGTTTGATTGACAGCACTAAGCCCCGCCTCCTGCAGGTTGTTGTGTGGTTGTTTCTAGTTTAGTTAGCAGATTTTTTCACTGCTCAACAATAAACTAAGCAAACTATAATTCTGATTAAGCAAATTCTGAAGTGTAAGTTTAAATCATTTGAGCCGAAACTTTGAATTTTTTGTGTTTTATAAGAAAAACATCCAGTTTGTAAATTATCAAGTGAAAAAATGTTTATGTTATTAATATTTGTTCCTGCTTTCAAACTGAGAATTTAAGTGTTTGAAGGTTAGAAATTCTACTGTGAAAATCTGTGCTCTGACTTATGGCACTAATATTGCCCCATAAAAATCAGCCTAAAAGTTGAGAGTTTATAAAAAAAGTAACTTTTTATTGGACTTTACATGAACACGAACATGAGCCTCGATCACAGCTTCATCTATGCTGAGTCTACAGACAGTCTGATATATTTAACGATGATTATCGACACGAGTTTCTGTTCCGGTTCGGTTCTGATTCTTCAGGGTTTGCAGAAATGACACTTGATGATTTTCTTGAAGGCGCTCTGGAAGTCTTTGTTGAAGTAAGCGTAGATGATGGGGTTGAGCAGGGAGTTGGAGTATCCCAGCCAGTTGATGACGGCCTCCAGCCAGCCGGGCATGTAGCACGCCTCCCGGCAGAACGGCATCACCAGCGCCACGATGAAGAAGGGCAGCCAGCAGAGGATGAAGGTGCCCATGATGATGCCCAGCGTCTTCACCGTCTTCCGCTCCCGCGCCAGCGCGATCTTCCGCTTGGCCTCCGTCGCCTTTTCGTGGCGGCTCTCGAACAGCGGCGCGGAGCTCGGGGTGTTGGGCAGCGGCAGGTGGCCCTTGGAGCTGCTGTGCACCTCGATGATCTCCAGAGACTCGCCGTCGTCGGCGTGCTTCACCGCGCCGTTGACGCTCGGCGGAAGCGGCGGCCGCGGCTCCACGCTGCGCTTCCAGCTCTTGCCCTGCTGCGCGTCACCCTGCGGCTTCTTGTGGAAGAGCGCCGGCGACAGCGCCAGGCACGAGTCGGACACTTTCTTCTTCTCGGTTTTACGCACAGTCCTCCTGATCCGGAACCGCGCCGCTTTGAAAATCCGCCCGTACAGAACCAGCATCAGCGTCAGCGGGATGTAAAACGCGCCGAACGTGGAGTATATCGTGTACCACGGGTCCTGCCGGATCTTGCACTCCATCTGGCTATGTTGGTCCTCCGCGTCGCCGCTCGGCTGGGAGCGCATCACCAGCATCGGCGGCACCGAGATGGAGAACCCGACTATCCAGGTGACGCTGATCAGAACCGCGGCTCGCCTCGGCGTCCGCTTCTTCATGTAGTCGATGGGCTCGGTGATGGCCCAGTAGCGGTCCAGAGCGATGGCGCACAGGTGCAGGATGGATGAGGTGCAGCACACCATGTCCAGGGAGATGAAGATGTCGCACGGCACCGGGCCGAGCGTCCAGCGGTCCAGAACCTGGTAGAGCGCCGCCATGGGCAGCACCAGCACCGACACCATCAGGTCGGTGACGGCCAGGGAGCCGATCAGGTAGTTGGCCACGTTCTGCAGGGAGCGCTCCAGCGCGATGGCCGCCACCACGCAGCCGTTCCCGAAGGCTGCGCACAGGATGAGCGCGCCGAGCAGGACCGAGGTGAGCAGCTGGGAGCTCAGCCTGACCTCCGCGCCCGCGGCGGCAGCAGGTTCGGTGGAGTTGGGGAAGTCGAGCCAGGCTGTGGTGTTGTTGGTGCCGTCCATGTTGGCGCGGCGCGGCGCGGCGCGGCGCGGCGCGGTGCGGACAGAGCGGTTAGCGGAGCCCGGTGCGCAGCCGATCAGCGCACATAGCGGACTGACTGCGGGAGGAGCGCAGAGCGGGTCGCGGCTGCTGACGGAGAATGATGCAGGTATTTATACCTGTGATGGAAAACGCGTCATGGCCCGGTTCTGGTTCTGGTCCATTCCGCTTCCTCTTAATGTTTCAGCTGTTAAACTGGAAACTGGACATTTGATTTACTTCCAGGTTTCATCTCTGGTTTAGTTTTTATCCCACAGTTTTTGTTTTATTGCAGTTTTTCAGAACCAAGTGACCAAACGGACCCGAGGCGCTTAGAGCGCCACCTAATGTTGGTATGGTGACCATAAAACACACAAGGTCTGAAAATGGATTGATGATTTATACACTGTGAAAAGATTTCTAAATTAATTACAAAATTAAAAGAAGTATTATAATAATGATAATAATTAATATTATTACTGATATTTCATTACAATTTTATATTATCATTACATAATAAATTATTATCTAATATGTCATATTAAGCTAAAGTTCTGAATGATTTAACCTCAAACAATATAAAACCTAAATTAGTAGAAAACAGAGAAACATGACGATGTCATCATAGTTTAAATGAAAATATAGTTTTATATTATTAATGTTTAATATTAATCATTATTGTTACTATTATTATTAATATCATTATCATTACTTTAATAATATTATATCATAACAATAGTATTAACAATATTAAAAATAAATATAATTATTATTATCGTTATGATACTAATAACGATAATAATCGATTCTAAAGATACTTGGATTATATTATATTATTTGTTTCCCTTTGAGCTAAATAAAAAAATATCTCAACTGAATTTTATTACAATGACAGACTCGGAATAAGTAAATTATTACATTTTCAACACTTTTTTGTCAAAACAAGTTGATTTTTGCGATGCTACCAATTTTTTAACTGCAGTTACATAAATGAACCAGCAGGGGGACACTGCTATAATGTTTTTATTTTTGTTTTTTTTAAGCTTTATAACATTCTTTAGATTAAATGTACCTTTAATCATGACAGAAAAGCGGAAGCTTCGTCTTTACTGGCTTTGGGACGGTGAGCGATCTCGTCATTTTTGGCCCACCGGCCGTCCCGTACGTCCTCTCTTCTCCTGTTGTCAAACGGATTTAAACCCTCAGCACTTCGTCGCCTCGGCCGTTTAAACATTTAAAAGTTGTCCGCGGTAAGCCTAACTGTGCAAACTGGTTATAAAACATAACACCCACACGTTGAAAGTTTTATGTCTGCGGATTCAGATCCGTCAGGGAAACTTTATGACGTTAACTTTAGCGGAGTTAGCAGGAAGCTAACTGTTTAAACGGTTTGTTTTCAGGCTATTAGCAAAACATTTAGAGGGACAATAACAGCTAAGCTGTGATATTAGTACAAAGAAGCGTTAATGATGAACTGCACGTATTAAACTCTGTCACAGTGGTTGGTTTTGGGCAGGTGAAAGGTGTTTTTTCAACCAGCCCAGCTGTGATAAAGTCTGAAATTATTAAATTATTTCTCATATTTCCAGATTTAAAGAAGCTGATAGTTCGCTGAAAACCCTCTAAGTGGGTTTATATCAACAGTTCGGAAGCTTTCTGGAAGTTTTCCTCCATTTTTATCTGACTCTTGATGCTTTTTATGATCAGTTTCAGTCCTAAATCCATGTGATGGGAAGGCCGACTGTTGGTGATTCTGGGATCCGGTCACGTGGTTAACAAACCCCACACATCCGTCTCCATGGCAACGCCCTACAGCTCATTCTGGGAGGTGAGTGGAATGTTTAGTGGAAGAAAAAAGTGTCGCTATAAGGCAGAGCCAATGAAAATGTGTCACTTTTTGAACAGAATTAGTGACTAAAATATCATTTTGATGATGTTTTTAGTAATCCATTGACCTTTGACATGTTTGCTTTGTGTTTTCGTCCCTCCCGACCAGCAGATGGGTTGAAGATGAATGGAAAGAAGCTCCGCTGTCGGCGCTGCCGCAGGGCCGTCGGAGACGCCAGCTGTTTGGTGACGGTCAGTAATGAGTTTTATTTAAATGTAATCAAACTGGTTTGATTTGGACACCGAACATTGTGAGGACTCAGCGTCAGACATTCAGCGTCTCTGTGTTTTCCTCCAGGTCAGACTTTTATTACTGGAGGTTAAAAGTCTGAACTTCATTATGTAGCATTAAGGAACAATGCTACATTATTTCTTAATGTAGCATTGCTAGTGTGGTGAGTCACTGCAGGAAGAGGATTTTGGCCACTTCCTGTGAACTCTGGGAAACAAGTTTTGATTTTTAGAATGAATCCATCCATCATTTTTATCCATCCATCTCCTTTGAATTTTTAAAACCACTTCCTGTTGTTGTCTTCTTTGTGGTTTCTTCCAGTAGTAACACCCGGCTGTTGATCGTGTGACTCATGTTTCAGTACAGCTTTACAAAATACATTTATAAAACCACCTCATCCCAGTGTAAATTTATTTGAGTTGTTCCAGTTTGTGTCTCTCTGAGGTCACAAACTGGTCCTAAGTTTGTGTCTCTCTGAGGTCCAGTTTGTGTCTCCAGGCAGCAGACTCCTCTCCGGCCACCTGCTGCATTTGGCACATGGATGTTGATCATCTACCAGAGTGGATCTGGACCTCGGTTCAGCAGGTCGGTTTTCTCCTCTTCCTGTTTGTTTTTATCATAATTTAATGTGATTTCTGGTTCTTTTCCTCTTTGGTTTGGGTCACTGCAGCCTGAAGTGACCCAAACCTGCCCGTGTGGTTCAGACGGTCGTCCAGGTCCTGAGGCAGAAACATGAGTTTTGTGTTGCTTCAGGCCAGCTGTGATCAGAACCGTTTCTAGAGTTTTCCAGAACCTGCCGTCTCGTCCTCAGGCCATCTGGACGTCCGGGAAGCTGAACTGCTTCCACTGTGGGGCTCGGCTGGGCGGCTTCAGCTTCCTGAACCGGTACCGCTGCCCCTGCGGCCGCGACGCCACCGTCCACTTCAGCCGCAGCCGCGTGGATCTGGACCAGAAGCCCCGCCTCCTCATCGTCCCGCCGCACAGGCCGGGCCGCGGGTCGGCGCAGGCCCAGCAGGAGGAGCCGGTCTGTGCTCCGGACCCGGTCTGTGCTCCGGACCCGGTCTGTGCCGGCGGGACCCCACAGCACGGTGCCGCCGGAGACATGGACGCGCCGCAGCTGGACCCGTCTGTCCGGAGAACAACAGAACTTAAGGCTGAAGCGGATCATGAGGTTTGGAGCGACGCCGTCCCCTGGGAGTCTGGCGCTCCAGCAGGATTAGCATCGTTAGCATCGTTAGGATCGCCATCTGCAGCGCCGCAGAAATCAGATGAAGTTTGTTTCACCTCTGAGGGAGAAGCAGAGCAGCAGGAGGAAGTGGTACGTTTACCTTTCTGACTGGATCAGGAGTCAGACAGGAAACGTTTTAACGTCAAATGTTTTTATTTACATCTGGAAAATTCACAACGCAGGACGGAAAAACCATTATTGTTTTACTTTCCAGTAGAATCTGTTGCCAAACTGAAACCTGGAGACGAAGCTGCAAAGTTAAAAACAGCATAAAGAAAATAAACAGAAGAATAACTCAGGATTCAACTCCAGAAATTACAATTCAAAGTGTTTTACTGAAAGTTTCACCAGTTCACCAAATTTCTGAAACGTTCGACTCTTAAAACTCAGAAATGTCCAAGTTTTTTCTAGTAAATTTCTGAGATTTTTTTACTTTTGGAGCTCAGAAATTTCTGTGTCAGTGGATTTTCTGTGTTGTTTCATAAGCAGGAAGCAACACAGAGACGCAGGTTCCTCGATTTTCTTTACAAAATGAAACCAGGAACAAACTAAACGGGTCAGAACCAAAACCAGGGGAGACTTTGGTTGAGCTGCTGGTTCTGATCCGGTTCTGGTTTTCTCCTGGCCAGGTGTCGTCCGCTCAGGGCCCCGGGGTTCTGAGCTCCTTGGCCCGGACCAGACTGAGCAAAACGGACCAGAACCGACTGAAGAGTCGGAGGAGGAAGCAGAGGAGGAGAGAGAGATGGCTGCAGAGTCAGCTGCAGGAGGAAGAGGAGGACGAGCCGGTGAGGAAGAACAGACTGGATTATAATATTTCACCAGACCAATAAAAATCTGTTTTAATTCAGAAATAATAAAAACTGTTTAACTTCTGATTAATGTTTATAATTTAATGTTCGTTTTAATCTGATTTGCTGAGATGAATGTAGAGAATTGATGAGTAAAGAAAGTTTGGAGTCAGTTTCTACCCTCCTCCTCTGTGTGACCTCTGACCTCAGGCCCAGTCGTCCCCAGCCTGTCCTCCGGCCTGTGAGGACGCGGACCGGGACGGTCTGACCTGCGCTGTGTGTCTGGACGTGTTCTTCCGGCCTCGCAGCTGCCTGCCCTGCGCTCACGTGTTCTGTGAGCCGTGTCTCCGGCGCCTGGCCCGGAACCGCGCCGCCCACACGCCGTGCCCGCTCTGCCGCCGCCTCATCTGCAACACCGGCTTCCACAGAGGTCGGCCTGCTCCCGGGTCACGACCTGAGATCAATCCGCTCCGGCGTCTGACTCCGCTCCGGAGTCCGAATCCGCTCCGGTGTCTGACTCTGCTCCTCTTCCTCCCTCAGAGCTGGACCACCGGGCCAGGACTCTGTTCCCCAAGGTCTGGGCCACACGCAGGCAGAACTTCCAGAACTCGCTGAGCGCTCGCTGGCCGCTGCCCAGCTCCCGGGAGCAAACACGCTTCGTATGCTGTCAGGACATTTTCACTTTTACACTTTTAAAGGGAAGCTACCATGTAAAAATTATATTTAGCATCTTTTTGTATTTTTATTTGAGTCCAGATGCTTAAAAACCCACTGAGCCTTGACTGGGTCAATAATCAGTAACTTATTTTAGTTTTTTCTGTTCCCATAAAAATGTGTATTTTTCCAATAAATTGGCTCTGAATGACTGGGCCCCATGTTGGATCAATTTGTGGGGAAAATATAAAATTAAAGCCACAGGAGTCAGAATCTCTTCTTCTGGCCAAGTGAGGAGATTTTATCAGATCATCTGCAAACAACACAAGAAAAACACAAAATGTCTAAATTCTGATATTTTCAAACATTCTGACTCTGATTTGTCCAAAACATAAATATTAACGCCATCAAACACCAGGCCTGTGAGGTGAAACAAAATGGCCTCCATTTAAACTCAATACATGAGGATTAGCTGCCCCTGGTGGCTCAGGTGCATCATTACACTTCACACCTGTCTTCCCTGAAGACGCCCCACATTAAAAGTATTTATCTTTACTGCTTACAATAACATGATTATGAGACAGTGATTATTTGTGTGTTTAGTTTATTTCTGCGCAGGTAAAACCATCATTTTAGTTTTAAAATATTTTCTGTATCTGGTTATAATGATACAGCTGAATAGAAAAGAGTCATAAACTGAGTGTTAGTATTTAGAGCAACTAAAATATTAATCATTTGAATAAAAACTCTGTTTTTGTAGTTCTCGTATTCTGGGATGTGTGGTGACCTCTGACCTCTGCTCTGTTGTGCTCCAGGTCATGGGCGAAGCGCGGAGGCCGCGTGGCGACGCTGGCGTCTAACTCCACGACCCTTTGACCCGGGCGTGCCGGGCCTTCCTCAGCTGCCCTTTGCCACGCTCATCATCCTCTTCATCGTGTCCTTCGCGCTGCTCCTCTACCTCGCCGGCTTCTTCTTCACATTATTCTCATGAGTTTCTGCACATGGTCTCGTTTTAATCCGATGAACTTCAGAGACTCTTTAAATCCTGCAGAACCTCAGAAACCTGCTGAACAAAACGGTTCCAACTGCTTGCCAAATAAATTTCTTGACTTTTCAAGGACTGAGACGTTAAAGGTGTCGATGGTTTCTGAGCCTTTTGTTATGCTGAGTCATTGTTCCTGACCATGACTCAGACAATAAATCCAACCACAACAGACACGTTAGCTTAGCGCTAGCAGGAGAAACGCTGCGTCGTTTTACCAAAGAGAAAAAATCTTACACTACTCCATTTTTATTTAGGTTTCATGAAGAAGGAAGTTGCCTCAGTGTCGTTTCCTTCAGTGGTTCTTGGTGCAGCGCCCCCACAGGCCAGGAGGGGAACAGGCTGCTCAAAGGGTTGAGTTGGTTTGAAGTCTAAATTTAGTTGGTAGACTAAATATTTACCTTGCTAACTAAATATGTGGCTTAAAACTTAATTTACTTTCTACCTAAAAAGCTGAATATTTAAATGTATTTAAATGTTTAACCTGTTAAGAGTTTAGACTAAACATTTAACTAAAAAAATCAACTTTAAATGAAATATTTAGTTTGAATATATATTACTGGTAACTAAATATTTGGCTTGCTAATTAGATATTTAGTTTGAAACTGAAGAATGAATTAATTACTTGGTGAAAATAAGACAAACTCATTTTGTCTCTTATTGTATTATTGACGGGCTGCAGTCTGAAACTAAACCCGTCATCATTTAAATGAACCCAGTTTGATGCGGTTAAACCCGGTGGGTTTTTCCTCTCGTCCTCAAACAGTTAATCTGGTGACGACTGGTTTTGCTGTTGCTCCTGCACAGTGAGGCAGGGCGGAAGCCCAGCAGCGCCCCCTCCTGTCGGCCTTCACAGGCGGCTGAAGGTGACTCCATCTCGGCTGGGATGCGGACGCGGCTGCTGCGGCTCCCATCGGCCGGACTCCAGCTCCTGTTTCCCCGGGAAACCAGCGCTTACAGCCGGGGAAGGGAGGCCCAGCGAGCCGACTGAGCCGACTCCTTCTGCCGGATCTTCTCTGGGTATTTTTATTTCGGGGTGCCTCTGTCTGGGCGGGCTCCGGCGCAGGGGGTGCATGCATGTGTTCCGCACCGTACGGGCGGAAAAAGCGCCCAAGATCCGCAGGGAGCATCTTCCCCAGCAGCAAGGCCGCAGGCGGATCCGGAGCGGCGGGAGAGCGCGGAGGCGGCGGTGGACGGCAGCAGGATGGTGGGTAGAGACACATGACATGGATCCAACCCGGACCGGTGCTGACTGCCCTCCTGTCCTGTTGCAGACGGTGCAGGAGTTCAACACGCTGGTGGCTCTGTACCGGGAGCAGGTCATCTCTGTCGGGGAGATCTCGGTGGACTGTCCGGCTCTGCGGGCTCAGATGCACCAGACCCGGTCCAAAGGATGCTGCATGGCCCGGGCCGCGCACCAGGACCTGGCCGTCATCTCTGGATCCGGGTAAACACGAACCGCAGCAGCTTGGATCAGTATGGATCAGCATGTTACTGATTTGTTACCGTTGCAGCAACACATTGTCCTGGACGATACATTATTCCTGTAATTATTGCGATAAAGTATCAGATGTTGTTTTGAAATAATCTTCAAGACTAAATGAGAATCAGAGTGAAAATGATTTATTATCTGTCATTTTGTTTTTCCTTCTACATGCACAAGTCAAAATATAAGGAAAAAATACAGAATAAAACAAGATGAACAAAAATAAATAATTAAATTCCAGTGAAGGTAGAATAACTTTGCCCATAAAACCTTATTAAAAACAAAGCAGCAGAATATTTTATGCATCATCACTGAATAAAAGAAAAACATTAAAGTATTAGATTAGAAAATTATACCACAAACTGATAGAGTATGTAACAATTTCAGTTCCACAGTTTTTGGGTTTTTTCATCCCTTTTTCCCCGGACGCATTAGTGAGTCTAAATATGGATCTCCGTCTGTGAATCTCCTCATCCATCTTTCCTGCTGCAGGCCGGAGGACGGACAGATCCATCCTGAAATCTGCCGGCTCTTCATCCAGCTGCAGTGCTGCCTGGAGATGTTCATCACCGAGATGCTCAAGTCCATGTGCCTGCTGGGGGTTCTGCAGCTGCACAGGAGAGGTACCAACACGCCAACAGAAACCCGTTTTATTACTGATCTCCACCTCTACATGGTTTCATAACCAGACTCAGTTAGAAAACACTAATAATAAACATTAGTTTAAATATAAAGTTATGTGAAAATTTTGGCATTTTAAAGACTAATTTAAAAAAAAAATAGTTTCCTTTAATAAAAAAACTTATAAACTTGAACTGGATTTTTGGTTAAAACATGTTTGTTTTTCATTCAGTGAAAATCAAACATTCAGATTTTTTTACTCAAGTAAGAGCAGAAATATTTCACAATAAAATTACTCTAGTAGAAGTAAAAAGTACAGCGTAGTAAAAATACTCCTAAAAGTATATATATATTTTTCAAAAGTTACTAAGTCAATGTAAGTAGTTACTACTCAACTCTATTCAAAACGGTACATCATCCTAAACAGGATATGAATTTATGTGAAGCTAAGTGCGCTAAACATTTTCAAAATGAGCAAACATGCTAATGCGCTAAAAGGAAAAAATTAGCTCTATTATTAGCATTGGAATTAAGCAAAATATTAGCAACTAAAATGTTCATCAAACATGGTTGAGATCTTTCTCTGACCACCAGATGGCAGCAGAGAGTTGATTGAATTATAAGATATTTTTTCCAAGGAAATCTTTGTTTGGTCTGAATAAAACTGGAGATTTAAGTGAAACTCTAATCCTCCTGGAGGCAGTGAGCAGGTGTGGGTTGTTGTCACTCTATTCGTGGGTTTTCCTCCCCGCAGGAACCGAATCGGAGCCCAGAGTCGACTTCCGGATGGACGAGAGCTCGGACGTTCCCATCCTGGAGGAACGGTCGTCGTCTCCCATCGATTACCCTCAGGAGACGTGGCTGGTGGGGACGGACATCGACAACATAGAGAGGTGCTGCTCTGTTCTTCTTCTGTTTTCTGTTCCGCCATGTGACTCAACCCGACGTGTTTCTGTTGGCAGAGACATGAAAGAGATGAGAAACTTACTCAGCAAACTCAGGGAGACGATGCCGCTGCCACTGAAAAATCAAGGTACATCCAATGTAGGATCAATGAAAATACTGCTTGGAATAACAAGTTATGATATCATGGATTTAATATATTTAGTTTCTGGACTCAGTGATCTTGATGAGGCCGACATTTTGGTGGAAATGTTTCTGTCCCAAAGACAAAACTCCTAAACTAACCAGTTATAGAACTCCTGACTTGACAAGCATTAGCTTTTATTAAATACCAGGTTGTTGTAACACTTTAGCATTAGCATTTGTTATGTTGCTGTAGTGCTTTAGCATTAGCTTTTACTAAGTACTATGCTAATGTAGCGCTTTGCCATTAGCTTCTGCTAAATACCGTGTTGCTATAGCACTTTATATTAGCTCCCATTTGTTGTACTGCCTTAGCTTTAGTGAAACTACCATTGTGGGTTTGTACTGTAGGGCTAGCGCAGCTACCCTTTCAGCTAGCAGTGCCCTCCACTGCCTACTTCATCCTGTCAGACAGATTCAGTTCAGCTGATTGTCTGATTCTGCAGACCTGACAGTAATCGGACCTGAAGCTGTAAAAACCGAACCGAACCCCAACCCTAAAACCAGAAACATTTAGCTATGAGCTCAGATGAAGTGTTCTGCTCATCATGTGAATTCTGGATGTTCTGACCCGTTCCAGACGACAGCAGCTTGTTGAACCTGACTCCCCAACCGCTGGTCCGGCAGAGGAAGAGGCGCTTCCCCGGACTCTGCTGCGTGGTGTCGGGCTGACGGTCCACAGCAACCTTTACTCCAGCTCTCACTCACTTCATTTCTTCAAACTAAAATTGTAATCTTGGGTTTCCTCAAGAGCTCCAGAATGTTTAAACTTGGTGTTTTATTAGAAGCGGGTCTTTGAGACGTCAGATTTGTCGGGTTTCGGACCCTGAAGCGTGTAAATGTCCAGGCTATGCAGCTGCTTCGCTGTGCTTCTCTCACGGCTCCACATCGTCTCCAAGTCTCATTCGTCTTCTGATCTGTGTGACGTGACAAAGCAAGTCCTCCATGTTGCGCCGCGTTCATGTACAGAGAGAAGAGAGGAAAAGAAGAAAAGCTGCTTCTGAATCTTAATCATCTGCGTTTTTAAAGCATATTTTTATCGCTTCGATGTCGTCGGTGATAAACTTTACCTGTGTGACGGGAAAATCTGCTTTTTTTCTGCCTGAACCAGCCGGTGCAGAAACTGAAACATGCATGAAATGTCATAAAAGTGTTAAGAAGTATCTGACGCTAACGGTGCCTTGGAGGTGGAATCACATCGCTCACCCTAAACCACCGTGGAGAAGATCAGGATTTTATAGCCGTGAAAAGGAAGGAAATAACATCTGTACAGTTAGCTTTGTAATTTGATAAACTCCAGTCCGTTTCACTAGAAATCTGGTGCATTAATGCATATGTGAATGCCAACTGGACTGGAGACCGCTCCAAAAGCAGGAAGTGGACTGCAGTGCAGGGCATTCTGGGTAAATGCAACCAAAACAAATATGCTAGGTAGTGCTAGCGGGAAGGATGACCCGAGAAATCCTCCAACTGCTAAAATCTGACGCTGATCCATTTTTAATTTAGATTTCACGGAGATGGGAGTTGCACTCAGTGTTTTCCTTCAGTGGTTTTTAGTGCAGCGCCCCCACAGGTGAGGAGGGGAACAGGTTGCAGAAACGGCTTGGAGATAACAGCAGCAGCTGAAAATGCAACAAATGTTGCAGTTTTGCTCCCAAATCGAACTGAGTTTACGGTTCGATCTGGTGTGAAAAGATCTGGCCTCCACGTCTTGATGGGTTCGTTCTTCTTCGCTTTTCATTTTCCTTCCTCTTCATCATGTCTGACCTCTGCTGTTCAGGTCAGTCACATAAAATCCTAATAAAAACAGCAGTTTGCAGTTGTAGTGTTCAAAGGACTTAAAGATCTCCAGCGCTCCTTGTCCGTTGTCAGATCTCTAATATCTGGTCGGGTTTTAG